AATAGCCACACAATTATTTCCTAGTGTAACTGCTGTACAAGAAATGGTAGATTGTGTTGTAGAAATCTTGCATATAGTGAATGATCTAAAAGTATCTGTTTTAAAAACAAAATGAATTTTATGCGTGTTCGTATTCTGTTTAATTTATACTGCAGAGTGCTTAACGTTGAAATTTACAGCAAATGGTTAACTATTGTACTTAATTTTAACTTAAAGTGAAAACAATATGAGTATTACAATGAGGTGACTATAATGTTGATACAATTAATGTTATTTGAAATTCATAAGCTGTGCTTAGTAAATTTTTTTTTAATAAGTTAACAATCCATCAAAAAATAAAAAAAATGACACAACTATTTGCAGTAAAAAAAAACACATAATTTGGAGTTGATGAACTTTTAAATATTTAATATTATTAATGTAACTTGTTACATTAATATTTTTGAAAAATTATATGCAATAATAATATATACTCGATATACTATAACAGATTTAATTGGATAAAGGTAATCCATTGGTATCTACAATTGATAGATGCTTAACAAAACAAAATTGTCATTGATCCCTTCTCCTGCATATAGTATTGATCTAATATTCCTTAACATTTACCAAGATCAGTTTATCAATATAGTTTATAAAAAATTTACTTTTATGTATCATAAATTTTTAAAAAAATAGTTAAAACTGATTGAAATTAAAATATAAGTGATATGGTGGTGTTTGGTCGCAGTCACTAAATAGTGCTTTTGATTATTGGCAATGAAGTTATGCCCCACATACAAAAACACATGTTCCAAAAATTTAATGTACTATACTCTACTGTAACATTTATAAAATCCACTCAGCTTATGACCTAAGTTGTCAAAGCTTAATTAAAAGCAAAAAAAAATTATGTATAACGTCAAGTGTAAACTAAATGTAGAATTTTTTTTTAATTCAAAGGCAGACATTCTGTATATTGATATTACTTAAACTATTAACTGACAATAATTAATCCATATAACAAAACTATTTAACATGTAATATATTATTTATTTTTAAATTATTTGTTTACAAATTAATGTTTAAAAAAAAAAAAAAAATGTTATGTTAATTTAATTTATTTAACCTTTGAAACAGTATGCTCAAATGATTTTTTATGTATAAATTGAAAAAAAAGTAGTTAAATGTTCACTGCCCACTATATTGTATCATTAAAAAGTTAAATTCATTAATTTTGTTACTGACAGATAATTGTATGTAATGTAACATAATAAAGTAATTATTTACCAACCCTTCACAACTATGGCACATAGACTATTTTTATTAGCTACACCAGCAAATAATCCAAAAATTAATAATTTAATTTTTATAATGTACAATGTACTTACTATAAAAGTATTTTCAGAATATCCAGTGTTAAACATACCTACAATAATTTTGTTAAAGTATGGAGAGAATATATTACATTTATACTTCTCTAAGCAACCTGCAATAGTAATTATTAAAAATTTGACTTTTTACTAATTTTAAATATATCAAATTTCTGTAAAACTAAGAATTGTAAGTATGATTATATATATGTTTTAGTCTAAAAGTTTTATAATTTGTAGATTTTTTAGAACATTTAATGATTTAAAATTTTTAAGTACCTACTGTAATTTTCTTTTCAATTAGTTATTAATATTTTTTTGTTTACTAAAACAAATGAAATAAGGTAGCTGTGAATATGATTTTTTTTATACTTATTAGTTTTATTCATTTGAAAATCTAGTCTGTTTATAATTAATTTTAACCATAATGTATTTATTATTTTTATAAAAAATTTATATTTTATTCTGTGATTTTGATTTGTTCCTACATGTTTTTTGTGCATAAATATTTTATTTTATACATTTATACAAAATAATTAATATTTAATGAATCTCATTTTTTTTTTAAATTTATATTTTTATTGTATTTAATTATTAATCATCAAACCTATGTTCAAATACAAGTTGAAAAAACTGCCAATATATATAGCATAATTTATAATTGCTATATATTTTTGCTGATAAATTTTTAATTCATTTAAAAATTCCCATATTTTATCTATAAATGGTGAATAAATAGTTTTTTGATATATTATATAAAATTATTATACTAATAAATTAATATAGTGTACAACTTTTATGGTTCTTATGAACAATAGAGTATTTATTTAACAAGGTTGTGCAATATTTTATACATTTTTGATTTACTGTGTTAACTGATAATTATGTGAGTTAAAATTATATGAATTTAGTTTAATGTGACATGTTATTATAATTTAAGAACTATATCTTTTTATATTAGATAATTTATAATATGATAATTAGGATATTTAAATTAGATTTTCGAAATTAATAGAGTTAAATACAATAATGAATAACTAATTTTTAGATTTTAAACAATGTGAGTAACTTATTAGCATATTCATAGTTTTTACTTTTATAAATAATATAAAATTCTAATACAATTTACTTTAAATATTAGCTTTTTTATTTTTTTGTACTGTAGAAATTAACTGCTATTACGAATATATGAAATAATTTGACATTCCATAATACAAGCAATATTTTTTACTAATTTTATAAGTAAATATAACTATTCAAAATATATGGTATATCAAGTGATAATGCATAAATAAATTTATTGTGTATACCAAATAATTTTGTTATTTTTTATTTAAAAAATATACTAAATAAACCATAAACTAACGATAAAATCAAATAGGTCATCAAGTCCATCGTCTCCCTGATAACATTTCAACTGCTCTCGAAAATCAAGAATACTGTATTGGACTCTTTTTAGATATCACCTAGGCGTTCAATAGAGTCTGGCATGAAGACTTACTTTATAAACTTCAACTCTTTATGTGTGCTCCTTACTATCTTGTTAAAATTATATCTAGAAAATAGATCATTTGTTGTACGTCAGGGTAATAATATTTCATCCAAAAATATGTACCAGAGTTTTATGGGGTAGTGAATTATCTTCTGACCATATAATGTTTGTATAGCTAACATTCAAAACAAACTACTTATATATAATTCAATCACAAGACCAGTTTGGTCTTGTGGAATCGCATTTTAGGGTCTACCCAAACCTTCAAATATTAGACAAAAGTTTAAACATTTCAATCAGTTACACTGAGGCTACTAACTCATGCCCCATGGTACGTTTCAAACCTTTCTCTAAGACTCTAAATAATGACTTAAAATAAGTATTACCACTGAACTAACCAAAATATTAAATTAACTTTTCTATCAAAATTTAAGAACACACACAAACACTCTAATATCCCATATGTTCATCGCCATCTTCCCTAAAAACCCACCGTACAGATTAAAACGTAAAAGTGAAGAGACATATTATATTAGAAAAAGAAGTATTACCAATAGGTTTCATCCTTAACACGTTACTCATGTTATTTTAATCTTGTGTTTTGTAAATATCAAATTCACTTATTGTAAAAATTGTACACAGATTGTGAAGTTTCTTCACTGAATAAAAAAATCAAATAAATATTTAATATTAATTATTTTGCATGTTAAATTATTAAGAAATATTATGGAAGCCAATGATCAATTGATTCTTTCTAAAAGAAATAATTATTAATTATACATGTTTTCTAATTCAAACAAAAACTACTAATACAGTTTTTATCTGAGAAATGTTTTATTAATCGACTATCAATACGCTTTAATCTAAAATTATTTACCGTAAAGTAAAAAGTAAAACTACAATAAAATTATACTTAATACAAATTATCTAATAAATGATTTAAGTCAGTATGATATTACAAAAAAATCTAAAGAAAACAATGACATGTAAATTTTCCTTATAATTGTTTTCTATCAATTTTAATATTTAGTAATTTTCTTAGCAAAGATAGTGTCTTTATAGTACAAAGATTATGCTTTTACTTTAACTACGACTTAAAATTAATTTAAACTATAATTTTATTGAACTGATTGTGTAATATATGAGATAACTGAAGTATTAGGTCATGTTCAATCAACACTCAACAGTATTAAAAACAAAGAGTACAAAGAATACAAAGAATAGTATACTTTTTATAATTAAACAAGTTATAAATTACTAACTTTATTTAATATATTTTATTCAATCTATTCATGCTATGACAGAACCTTAGTAAATTGTTTTTATTTAATCATCAATTTGGTCATTCAATATTCAAAAATAAAATAATAGTTTATTATTTTTGTATGAATAGAAACATGCTAAGTAACAATATATACAATTGTGTAATACATTTAAGAAACAATATAATATTTTCTTTTTTACTAAATGACATTAATATTAATACAGTAAGCATAAGCTTATATGATATATTAAACTCAGGGTTAGGTTTAAAATATGTTTAAAAAAAAAAAATACCCGAACATTGAAATTAAAATTTTTTTTTTAATATTATAAGAAAAAAAGTATACAAATCATTTAGATTCAATTTCAATCTTTTTCATAGCATTAGATAAAGAGTCGCTACTTGGTATTTCGTCATCAGCACACAACAATGTGAAGTGTGACAAGTCTTTTTTCATTGCATATGCATCTTCACCATCAGCATAATATTTTGGTTCAATTTCAGAAATAGTAAATTTCAATGTATTTGTATATAAATTCAAAGCAGCTCTGTTGCTTTTGCGCACATGCAATGATACATATTTAGCCTGGAAACATTCTACCATTGCTCTAGCTGCTTGATCCATCAATTTTTGTGCAAGTCCTAATCTTCTATGTGATCGCTTGACTGCAAGTGATGTTATATGTCCATGAGGATTATCTTCACAATCTTCTTCCATTTTTGCCAAAACATAACCCACAATGTTTCCTTTTTCATCCTCTCCCACATAACTTAATTGTGGCCATGATAAACCATGATAGAAGTAGTACTTCATTTGGTAATTTTCAGGAAGACAAAGCAAATTACAATGCTGCATATTCATTAAGTCATCTGGTTTAGCACAGCGAATATTCATTTTTTGGCAGTTGAGTTACTTAAAGAGTCTTTTGAGATTTATTAGAGTTACTAACTTCAGGTGTTTGCTGAGAAATAAGTTCTCGAACTAGTTTAAATTTTGACAAATACAACTTCCAAACTAAGCACCACCCTAAAAAAATAGAAACAAATATATATAATTAGTAAATCAATTTTTTCTTCTTTGGTTAATAAATCTATATAGGTTGGGTTGTATACCTAAAAATTAAATTCTCTAAATGGCCAATTAAAAAAATAAATATATTTTGATATACATTAAACTAAGAACTTATATAATAACTCAGCTATAAAACTATGAGGACATAATTTGCTATTTAACATTAGTATGATTTGTTCTTTTAATTTTCAGACAAGATTTAAAACATCTATGCAAACCATCACAATTATAAATACTCATATCCCATTTTAAAATTAAAAAACTAAATCAAATTTGTATCTTTAATTTAGATTATATGTCAATTTACTCTTAGGACTAACAATGCAAAATTAGAACTGTTTAATATAAATCTATTTCGTAGACTGAGACAACACAGGAAAGTACTACAACTAGTATACCTCAAATGTTAAGGTTAGTATTTTAAGTAGCTTATACTTTTTACAAATATATGTATTTAAAATAATAATTTATCTTTTCCACAAAAATACAAAACTGATCACTAGGTGTTCTATCAAAATAAATAATAATTATAGTTAATTATATAAGAAAGGTCAAATAGAATAATTGTATAAAAAACTTCTATGAAAATATTTACATATATTAATAACACAGTTTTTTCTTTTTTTACGAAACAAACAACACATGTAACCCCATATTGAAATTCAACTACTTAAATGAATAATTCCAAATGTTTGAGGTTTTTATTTATAAATAGTAATAAAATATTGATTAAAGCAGATTTTATCAAACATCATTGGAAATAATGGTATTACCTATATAAGGCAATTGTGTATTTAAAATAAAAATGTGAAAGACAAAAGGTATTGATGGACCTTACCTATGAGTATGAAAAAAATTACAACGATAAATGATGCGGCTACTGAAGCTAAAATAAACAACCACTCCATAACATAATTCTATAAAATGTTGTGATTTAATTTACGTTCAGAAACGAAGATGGAAGTGATAGATGATAGTACATTAACTACACTGTTTCAAAAAATAAAATTTACTATTATTATTATAAACGCAATTCTGAACTTAAAGTCACGGACGATATTGTATCAAATTCACTAATTCACATGTTCTTATCATGAATAAACAGTCTGATCATCGTGGTCTAGATTATTTTATTGTTCTGTAAAAAAAAATAGTCAGATAGATTACCAGTGCATCCACAGAAGTATTTGAACACAATATTTTAATGCAATCTTAGAAAGAGACGGATACAAAACAGATTTACCAATTTTGATAATAAGAACCTGATAAGAACATATATCTTTAAAAAAAGTTTATCCCAAACGGCTAACAGTGCTAACACCCAAGCTACAGAATGTTGATAAAATGTCAAAATCTCAATTCCCGTTTCGTTCTCCAGCAAAATTGCAAATTAATAAATATATAATTCTAAAAATCGGTTCCATGTCATTGGTGATCAGAAAATCTCAAATCTGTATTAATCCAATTTTAAAAGTGTTAACATAGCCACCGCTCACCGACAAACTATCCACCGGTATTTTTTCATCTTTTCTGTGATAGTTGATAATTACTATAGTCACCAAAACCAAATACTGAATAGATGTAATCTATTCTGTCCTGTAGTTATCATCATACACGTCCAATTTTAAAAACTTTAAATAATAAAATATGGAAATTAAAAATTATTAATTATCAACCTTCTACTTTTTAAATTCCTTCCACTGTTTTCCTAAATAGGTACACAAAAATTTAACTGTGGCGGAATATTAAACCAATATTAATGGGCATTGGATGATAAAGCCATATGGGTAGGGAAGGTATATCATGTATGATATTGTGATGATCAACCTATTATATAAAACAATTAACAAACTTCTTCTAAGAACAACAAATAATAATACTTAATAAATCAATATAGATCCATGCATCTATTTTCATTATATTATTATTTGGTTAATGATTGGTCATTAGTTAGAAAATAAGTACCTACCGATCTATGTTGCCTATTAAAAACTAAGTATCTCTCTACTCCCGTACGACGCTTGCCCATTAATTATATATTTAAGTTGATTACAACAATATCAAAATAATATACTTACTCTGAAAATATTATGTTATTATTATTAGCTATTATTATTTTTAAAAATGGATAGGTAGTGGTAGTATAGTTATGCAGATTGGAAACTGAAGTTATTCACATTTATTTTTGCCACTGAGCTTACATCATAAGAGATGTGTCCCGTTTGTAATTTTTTATATTGTATTTGGTCTCCAAGAATTATATTTCATACATTTTACTAATTTCTAGTAAAACAATTAAAATTATGTGAACCTTTCAAATATATCTAAAGGTTAGATTGCTAGTCATAAGTGTTGATGCACAAGCAATAATTATTGTCAAAAATATGTCGTTAAATGTGAAATAATATCATCTTTAACTTTTGTGGCGTTTCAACGATTTTTTAGAACATAACTGTATACTAATTAATATTTTTCAGTTTTTATTTATTATGGTTAACATCAATACTTAAAATGGATATAATTAATTTGAATGGTTTTCATTTAAGCGAAAATTCTAATTATACGTGTAACGAGACAAGAACGCACAAGTGCCGCGCTCTTGTGTCGTACATTAGCGTGATACTATCACATCAATGCGCCGACGCCTATTAAATACTAACCAGATGGCATATATCCCGCCGCCGTCATTGCAACCCGCCTTTTACTCATTTTTATATCGACTACATCTCATCTCAACAAATAATCACATACATCGCTGTTTAATATAAACATCCCAAAAAATTAATAAAATAATTCCCCGATAATTATGGCCCTAGAAATTAATGCAAAATTCAAGAAACTTAAATTTCATTACATCTGTCAAACAACTCGAAGAAATCATATAAACCCGTCGGCGCTGTCAGCAAACACACTTCCCGCCTCCGGCCTTTTTCTTATCCCGTAACTGGTTGATCACTCACCGGAAGGTATATACGACCTTCATACGGTGACGTCACATCAACTATATAGTTACCATAGCAATTTAACCACGACGAGCTGCAGTGCCCACTTAAGGTTTACTTTAAGTCGGGACCAACACTCAGTTGTACGGGGTATAATTATATATCTTAATATATATTTTACAATATAATATTGTGAAATACAAATATATTAAAATATATAATATTTTGTATGAACCCAAACTTCCCAGTTATATATTACGAAGAATAACTATCAAGAGACAACAGTGAAGATTATTCCAGACACAGAAACAGAACTACGATACGATCCAGATCAAGACGGTAAATAAAGGACAACGTTGTTCAATCTCCCTCCCGTGAGTTTCATTCTTATATAAATATATCATTAAATGAATATTTGTCATATTATCCTATATTTTTATTGTATTTAAAAGACATAAAGTCATATAATAAAAAGAAAATAATGTAAATATTTCATATACATATGTAAATTTTCATTTTAAATAAAAGTTAACGTAATCAAAAACCCAAGAGTTTAAATTTCGTTACATACGTGTAGCTTATATAGTTAAATAAAAATGGTTCGTTATGCTTGGACAATTTGTATAATTTTAGATAGAACAAAATTGAGCATGACAGATAGTTTTTACTATTTTATGTAAAAAAAAATGTCAAAAACAATACAATTTCATAAGGTACCTATATTTTATGTGTGTGAAGAATTTTATTTTTGTTTATAAAATATATATTTTCTGTATTAAGTACTAATATGTATAGTATAAGAATACAAAATTATACTGCTACCATCAAAATAATATTTTTTTAATAGTATCTAATAATTATTATGTGATATTAAAATTATATCTCAGTTATTTCTATTTCCTAAGAAAATTGATATATTTTATTATTACTCCAGAACATTCAAATTGTTAGAACCGTCCCTGTCAAGTGATGGAGGTAAATAATTATAAATGGGATCGAGACGTATAATGATAAAACCAACGACTATAACCAAATGGCGTTTTAAGAATAGTACAAAAAAGAATATAACGTCTACGTGGCTATGTTACAGGCTCGGGACTAACATGTTTACATTTTGACAACGGATGTTTATTCGTGCTTTGTGAATGAAAATATAAATTATTATGTAGTGCACTATGCGAAATTAGATTATTATTCATCCTTATTCTAAGAATGTTTACCTACTGCTTAAAATACACTGAAAACAATTTTTTATGAAATTTGGATTTGTTAATAGTTAAAAAAATATTAACATACTTATTCTTTCTTTCAATTAAACAAATTGTAATTTAATATTTTAATAGTTCAGAATTTAAATCAAAAATACAAATAAATAATTAATTTTTAATTGCAAACAATATGAGAAATGTGTAGGTACTTGACTAAAATATATGAATATTAGAATTTAATTCTTCTTATACTTATTAGTATTTAAAATTTTACAAAAACAAACGTATTTATGTAAATTTTAAAGTTTGAAATACAAGTATTTAAATAATGAAATTAAATTTTACGCTGAATTTGTTTTTTTTTTAATGATTTATTTACCTAATAGTAATTCGTATTTCATAGATAATTTAATTATAAAAATGACAAATATTGTAAATTTAGATAATTATTTATTAGGTACAAGATAGGTTTATAAATTATACACAAATACCGAGTAGGAATTTAATCTCATTCAACGATGATGAAAATTATAATGTGTCCACATTCATGAAGCTAATTGCAATTCTTACTACTCAATTTGGGCCCGACTGTTGGTTAAAATAAGATCTAAAGATGTGATATCTGTATCTATGGTTATAGGTGCAATGGATAGTAGGTACCTACCTATAATATGATATAGGTACTTATAATAATCGTTATAAACGATAAATTATTATTTTACTCACATGGCCACATATGTATAATAAATTTAGTCTGTAGCCGTAAATCCGTAAATACAAGACATGTACATCATAAATTTATTTACATTATTATAAAGACTTTTAATTACATAATACAATATTATTTGAGTATATACTCACACAGCTCCACTAATTATAATTTCATTCTTGGGACGTTGGTCATGTACAGAGTATTATGTATATATCATAATTATTTTCAAAATATCAATCATGCCGTTTGAGTGTAAAACTTTTACGGCGATCTCATAGACTTTCACACCTTAGTGCCTCACTGCCGTACATCGCAGTCTTCCGACGAGCGAAAAGCCGAAAACGGTTTGCTTTGCCGCCGCGGACTTTTGACACCCAATGGAAGACTCTGCGGGACAGGGGTGCCAACGGAGCGATAAGCGCGTGCAACATGTGTGCCACGGTGTTTTCCGTCTTGTCCCGTTCATAATATACAAATACAAAATATTTTACACACACAAATACACAATTGTTATACATTATTTATCTCCGTGGAGCGATAGTGTGCGCGTGTGTGTTTTTTAGTTTATGTGTGTGTGTGCGAGCGAGTTTTAAGACCATCGTCGGTGCGTTACTATACTACAAAACTACAATACCACGTCTCTCTCACTCGCACCAGTCTTCCATCGACCATCACGATTCCCGATATTAATATTACTATTTGATGCGTTCTTTATGTGGTGAGTTTCGTTAAAAATGGCGTTTTACATCTTCGCGGAACGTGACGAGTGACAACGAGTGCCGTTAGCCAGAAAACCGATCAGTACGCCCGCCTACCTTGCGACGCGTTTACGGTCTTTTTCTTACACGCGCGACCCGTTAAATCCCATTCATCTCGTTCGCACTTACTCGGTAACCGGTGTTTTTGCAGAAAGTAAACATGCCTGGCGCTTAGTAGCCGCCAGTCGCCAGTCCGTCTCGTATCGAGTACCGTTTCACGTTGGTTAGGTACGCCAGTAGGCAGTAACCAGTTAAATACTGCATTACGACTTGCGCAATTCCGACGTTCTTATCTCGCGAACGTTCACCGGCCGTTGTTATTATCTCTATTGTTGTTATTGCGCTCCATCAATCCACCGTTGTCATTGTGCTCATCACTATGGAAGTTGTCGAAGTTAATGATTATCAGTGTCATTCTGACGGTGAAGAAGTCGTCTTACTGGACCTAGACAAGGCAAACGGTGTGGAAGACTCTCCCGAGGTTCACGAAGTGACTGTGGATGACGCCAGTGGCATGGACGTAATAGAAACGTGTGAAGACGACTCTCAAGATCGTATGGAGATCACTGATGTCGTTATCGAAATAGTTCCAAACGACGGAGGCAATGCATCTGTTGGTACTATCGCTGACGGTGATGTTTCTGCATCGTCTGTGAACAACGTATCCAACGATATAAAAATCGAGAAGGGAGATGATGTTCCAATGGATGTCGATCTGGAAGACAAAGTTGTTGAGTTGACAAATGAAGTAAATAAAACTGAAGAATCAGATAAAAACACCAATGATACAACAAACACTACTGAATCTGTCATCAAGAATAAAGAAGATGCTGAAGAATCGAGTGAAGTTAACAATAAGACTAACAAAACGAAGAGCTTAGTTAATGAGGCCAAAAAAACTGATGGTCCGTTAGTTTTAACCAAAGATAAAGTAACTGTTACAATTCCCCAACATATCGCTGGACGTGATATGGCGTCTTTGTCTGAAGAAACGCTTCCTCGTTCTGGAAAACGAATGTTAAAACCTAGGTTTGGTGTTAAAGTACCTTACATTCACATGACAAGCCAGATTGTAACTCAAGATGAAATCGCTAAGGAGTTATTTGAAAGATTTCAACAAAAGTATCCAATTACCCGTGTTGATAAGCCAGACAAACTTTTTTCAATGAAATTATCACATCGAATATCCAATAACATTTCTACATTAAAAACTCCAGATGGAAAATTAAAAGATGTTTCTAAAACCCCCAAAAAGTTGTCGAGTACTAAAAACGAGTTATTGAATAAAAAAACAGAGAAAATAGATGTAGATTCGAGTAATAAATCGACAATTAGTAAACCAGATCCTAGTAATAAGCCAGATTCTAATAATAAGTCAGATCCTAATAATAAGCCAGATCCTAATAATAAGCCAAATGTTAAACCACCAAGCTCAACACAATCTATAGAAAATAATTTAAACAATATTGAAAGTCCAAATGTTCAGGAATCCAATAATGATTCCAAAGAATCCATGGAAGTTAATGATTCCAAACATATTGAACAAATAACTAATACTTTACAAATTTTAGATCAATCTGCTGATCAGCAAGTCAATAATGTATCTGAAGATAAAAATGATGAAAAAATATCTTCTAATGAAGAATTAATTGCTATACTCGAGGATTTTGAAAATATTGAAACACCAGATACAAATGAAAATGTTCCAGAAACACCAACACCAACGCCACCAAAACCACCAGTAATGAAAAAGAAAATAATTCGAAGTACTACTAGAACTAAAAGATCTAAACCAAAATTGGATCCTGAGTTAGAAAAACAAATAGCTTTAAAACAGCTTCAAGAAGTTTCAAGACCAAAAAGATTTGATTCTCTTTATGCTAAAAGAAAATTAGAAATTGAAAAGAAACTATTAGCCAAAAATGATCTTAGTACTGTTTTGAAACGTAAGAAACCAACACCTGATGATGTACCTGAAGTTAAAATAGCTATTGATCAATATATTAAATCGTATACAGATAAACGTCAATCAACTGTTAAAGCAGAACCAATCTCCAATGATGAGACTATTAGTGAAAATACTACTGAAGAAATTGTGCCTGAAATTAAAACTAATAATGTCGTTAAAGCAAGAACAATGAGAGAAATTAATCGTCTTTTAGGTGATGAAGGAGCAATAAATATGATTTATTCGCTTGAAAAAAGAAGATCTCCTGGTAATAATAATGCAAAGAATATTCTTCCATCAACTAGGCGCAAGAAAAAAGACTTAATGTTGAAGACTAAATTAGTTAAAAATGCCATGCTCAAAATGAGTTCTCCAGCTACTGCATCACTATCATCTAATCGCCTTGGACGCCGTTCAGATGTATGCACTCCATCCATTTCACCTGAGAATAAGTGTACAAGGAAAACTTCTATAGATTCACAGGGTTCTGATCAGTCTATTAATTTCTCTGGTAGAAAAACAATTCCAGCTGATGAGTCTAAAATTATTAGAAAACATTCATCTAGTAGTGAAGCATCTAGTGTTGGTGGTAGTCCACTACTTCCAGTTCCTGAAGCTATACCTATCAATAACTTGGCTATAAAACACACGCCTGTAAAAGCCTTGAGAGTATATACTCGAAAAAATAAAAATTCCAATGATGTAATATTATTAAATTCAAATGATACACCATTTGTTGAAGTGAATAAAGGAACAGGTAAAAATTTGGTTAAAACCAAAAATTCCACCAACCAAAAAGTTAAAAAACAACCTGTACCAGCATCTACAAAACTTTCAAGTAACTAAAGTTTATAAATAAAATTTTGGATAAGTTTAAATTTGAATTTAAATAGGTTTTATTATATTGTGCTTTTTAAACAGGATCGTTAGCAGAAAGCATTAAAAAAGAAGTTGAAGATACTACATATGATGAAATAACTTTAAGACGTTATGATGGAGTAGTACATATTACATTAACACCAGTTTCAACCGTTATGAAAAATGCTTTAAATATATCGGTAAATCCTGTTCTTTAATATTCAATAGTTGTTTTAAAAAATGTATTTATATTTGTATTTTATTCAATTATTAGGTTATGGAAGAATTGATGAAAGAGTTGAATAATTTAGAAAATGATGATACTTGTAAAGTGGTTTTAGTGTCGTCGGCTGGTAGAATATTTTGTCAAGGTTTGGATATAGCACCTCTAGTGCATGATGATCCAGAGAAATGTAAAGAAGCAGCGTTAAACATTTCATCTACTCTTAAGTAATTTTGATTAAAATTTGAATATTCTATGTTTTAAATCTAAGTCAATCCTTATTTATTTATTTTATTCTGCATATTTGAATTTATCTAGTTGATATCATGAAAATGTAAAATTCATTTAATACCAATACAAGTACATATATTTTTTTATTACGGATTTCTAATTGGGGTTTAAATAATAATTGGTACTTAAAAATTATTTTATTTTATCTATATTTTTAGTAAGCTATTAATTTGTATCAACTTAACTAGTATTATCTATTATTTGTTTTCTATTTAACAAGAGAATATCCTGCTTCTGCATTTAATTAAAATTATACTTTTCTTTTAAGTTTAATAAATATTAGAAATACTGTAATATATTTGATTAGGTTTAGGTAATTTAGGTACTATTTATCAAAAAAAAAAAATATTGAGCACAATTTATTTAATTTTGTTGGTGAATATTTTATAACTATGGTTATTTTAAAATGAAACAATATTTTTATCTTTCAATACTATTAAATTTAAGCTTTAATATAAAATATAATAACTGTATTTGTTTTTTGACAGGAAGTTTATTACATGCCTAAGTGATTTTCCCAAGTTACTTGTAGCTGGTGTTGATGGAGCAGCAGTTGGACTTGGTGCTACTATGCTAGTCCACTTTGACTTGGTTTTTGCTAGTGATAAAGCAACTTTTGAAACACCATATGCACAACTTGGTCATATTGCTGAAGGTGCTGCTACAACTATTTTAGGTAGACTTTTAGTTGCAGAAATGATTATGGGTAGTCAGAGATTAACTGCTGGACAAGCTCACTATTATGGATTGGTGACTAGAACACTATGGCCTGATCGATTCCACGATGAACTAATACCATTGGTAAAAGCATTAGCTAGACAGTCATTACAGGTTAGTTTTTTTATTTAAAAAAGTCTTCATACAAATTTATTTAAACTTAATTATAATTATTAAATCTAATAATTTGTTTTAAATTTGGATTAATTGATTTTTTTACAAACATTGATAAAAGTAAAAATTAGTCTCCTTAAGTACATTAGTGTTATTTGAGCAATAAAATCATTATCAGACTTATTTTAACTCTGCACTTAACTGTGTGCATTCCGCTCGGTATGATGTTCCATAAAATAACATTTCATATGTTGTACTCTCTTGTCTATCTTTGTGTAAACACAAATGACCGTATGGACAAGTGCATTTAGTATATGTTGAGTAGTAATCTGTTCTTATATATCCACAAAATTCTCCAGAATTACAATCCTTTAACTAAAAGAATACAAATTAATATATATTTTTTTCATAATGAAGAATATATTATAAGCTTATATTTATATACCTTTTTACATTTGAATAAATCTTCAACATAACTTATATCAGTAGTTTCGTTGTGTTGGTCTTTTTGTTCATGTTTAATTAATTCCCAAGTTGTATGATGTGGACAGTTACAGTGGACTTTGGCTTTTATCTTAACATCATTATCTTCTCTACTTTTTACAATTGTTATAGATTCATCAGCTTTTGTTGTACAATCAGGCAATTCATTAATAGGTTTACAAAACTAAATTAAAATTGTTGTTTATTTTAGTTAGGTTATTAATATTTATCTATCTGATTATGATAAAAACCTTAAGTTGTGAACGGTTATCTAATGGCATACTAAGATTATCATTTGTGCTCCACTCCCATGGACATTCTTCACGATTCGGGCATTTACATAAACGTTCGACTTGATTTGGAAACCAAAATCTAAGATGTACAATATTACATACACTATGTTGTTCACAAATGCTCAAGTCTCGTTCACTTTTTGCCTTAACAAAAATTAAACATAAATTTATTATTCTTTCAACACACCAAACATAGATAACAATATTTACTTGTCCTGGGTATATAAATACTGCATTATCTGTTTTACTAGATGTAACTGTAGTAAATGTTGATATACAATACACATTGACTAAACTTATTAAAGTGTATGCAATATAATTAATCCACATGATTATTTAGCAATAATTGTTATTAACTGAAAAATTAAATTAGTTAATTGTTTACTAAAAGCTACTGTTGATTGATAAATAATATACAATATTTTTGTGTTTAGGCAATGGTAACTTCTAAAGCTCTTCAAAAACAAGAAACCAAAGATAAATTGGCAAAAGCATTAGAGTCTGAAACACATATTTTAGTACAGCAATGGACTGGTGATGAGTGTCAACAAAATTTACAAGCATACTTGAAAGATGCAGTTGACAACATTAATACCTAACTATAAAGTGAATTTATAATTTGTTTAGTGTTCACCGTGCGGCCTCAAAAGTTAATAATTTTATGGGGTTAAAATGCTACTCGTCAGAAACGTTGTATAGGAATTTAACTGATGTTAATAGGTAGCCAATATCTAAATTATAGAGGATTTAGAATAACTTTTATACTTTAATTATTTCCAACTGATTCATTTTTATAACTAACAATTATATTTTATTTTAATTAGGTTTTTTGGTTAGTTTATTAATTGTAAGCAATTACTTATAATTATAAATTAGTAATTTTTTATTTTCAACCAATAAAGGGTTCATTTCACTAGAATTTATTATAGAAAAAAACAGTTTCACATTTTAGCTCTTTACTTTTCATTAGCATTTTATTATATATATATATATTTTTTTTTTTTTTTTGAGCACTGGCCTTAATAATTTATTTTTATTTATAAATATACATTTATAATATTTGATATTTATTATTTTAAAATTACAATATAATACTTTAATTATGGTACTCCTATTTTATTTAAAATGTTTAAGTTTGAACTACTTTAGTATACAATTTATGTTATTTCTCATACATTATTTATTGTTATAATATCTGTTCTGTATTAATTTTTTTGATTTGAAGTAAAAAAAAAAATCTATTGTTGATGTACATTATATTGCAGAAAAATCTCATTTTTTTTTTTCTAAATTCTAAATTATTTTAATGTTATAACAATGAGATGTGCAATTTATGTTAAAATAAAATTAAATAAATTAAATTTGCTTCTGTTTTTTGATTTACATTCAATCATTATAAATTTATTACCAACAGGACTCAAACTAAATCTTTATTAATAGAACATTAAAAATGTAATCTGAATAATTGTTATATGTTAATTTTTCATGTTAGTTTAATGATGTTAGTAAATACATTTTATTAACATGATCCTATTACATTTGGGTATACATACAATACATATATCTAATGATGGTTTAATTTTTAACCTTAAAAGATAATATAGTATATTATTATATAAGTTGTATTTTATGTTAATGTACAGTATAAAATACAATAATATTGCATAAACTAAATATTTGAGACTAATATTAATTTATATGACTTTTTTAGACTTTAATATTATATTATTATTTAATCTTTAATATATATATGTGAATGTATTTTATGTATTATCAAATTAAACAGTGATCATTATTTCATGTTAAATATTTAATTATTAAAATAATGATGGGTCAGATTTATATTTATTGAATAATAAATGAAAATTTCTATTTTTGTTAAAAGTATAACTGAATGTTAAAAAAATTACTATCAATTTTAATAAAAACAAATAACTTGTAAACAACATTCATAAGAGTGAAATTAGTTATTAACTTATTTGTATTTTTGGACAGAAATGTATTACACATGTAAATTATATCACGGTTCTTAAAGAAAAAAATGTTGTTTTTTTTTTTTAAAGAAAATTTAGGTTACTTTATACAAACTAAAATATCAATTTTGAACTTAATTGTTGAAAGTATTATATTTTGATCTGTTTGAAAGTAATTAATATTATATTCATATTTGTTTACAAATTAATAAATGATTACAGTTCACAAACATGGTTGCTGTCTCTTAAGAATAATGACCATAAAATACTTTCAAGGAATTACACAATTTTAATTTTTTTTTTAATTTATGTATTCAGTTGTTAAGAGTAAGTAAATTACTATAATAACAATTTTGTACTTAATAAATTATTTAAATTCAGCTATAAAAATACTACGGTTAAAATATATAATGCAATTATTAAAAACTATATTTAATTGTATTAAAAATCATAATTCATGGGGTAAATTTTTGCTTAACGAAAAGAAAGAACTCAACATCCTTATTTTTTTAAAAATAAAAATTAGTATTTAAAAAAAAAAGGCAATCAATATTCAATTAAAATTTAAAAATATTAATTGATTACTTGTTTTTTAGTATGTATAAGTATAAACAAAATAAATAATCCACATAAATTCAAAGTATTATTTACTTTAAATTACAATAGAATTATTGACTCAATAATTAACACATACAGTCTAATTCACTTATAACAATCTTCAAGGGACCTAGAGAATTGGATCGTTATAACTGAACTTTGTTATACCCAGATTATAAAAAGTAACTATACATAAGATATAAAACCAACCAAATATATTGGTTGGAATCATTTTACCCAGAATATCATTATATACGGCCTCATAATAAACGAATTTGACTAGTATTTTTCAATCAGATGATTACTACCTTATTGATAACTGCACAAGTATGGTTTTAGTCTTTTAAATAAGGTTTGATAATAATATTAATATTTAAAAAAAAAAAAAAAGCTTTCAGACAGCCTAAAAACCAAATAAAAACAATTAAAGCAATTGAAGTTGCTAAAGTCAATATATTTTGTTCAAAATTCAAACTTTTAGGAATCATGATTATATATAATATATTTATGTATTAGCCTATCAGAATATATTATATTATTACCAAAAATCTAATTAAAATATAAATACCTATTAATGATAGAATAGAAAAAATGTAGTTATATTACAAAGCGAAATCAATTACCTAAAATGTAAAATTAAAAAAAAAAAAAGTAATTCAAGTGAATCTCAAATTGATAGTAATTAAGGCTTTAAGAATAACGTACAACTAACAAAAGAGATTTTATGGTATTGTATTGTTTTTGTTTAACTATAGAGTAGGTACTGACTGATATTACTCAACCGATAAATTATTTAATTTTAAGTATATCTAATATGTAAGTACTGTAGGTAATTTAACATAATATAATAAAATACTAATACTGTTGTATCATAGACTATAATAATGTATTATAAGGTTAATGGTACTGGTTTTCAAAATGTAACAAGATATATGATCACCCCAAAAAAAAAAATAAATAATAATAAATATATTAAAAAGTATTATTTATATTAAAGAATATTAACTATATTAGTGCATATTTATATTACAACTATATTTTAATTTAATTCACTTTTAAGAGAAAAATTAATAGGTTTAATAGCAGTGTACACATTATCTGTGTTTAATATTGACATATACTAACATCTCTATTAAAATAATTTCTAGACATATCAATGCAGATTAAATGTGTAAACAAACTGTAGTCGCTCACTAATAATAGATTTAAATTACTTCCAGTACGAGTTAGGTTGATAAATCGATTAAAAAAATGGATCACAACAAGACTATTGTCACAAAATTATTAGTGTGAAAAAATAAATATTTTCAGTCTTGAGATATATCAAACAGTAGATAAGTAGTATGTAAGTGTGTAGTGTGTACTCACTAGTTAGTAGTTAGGTATCGACAAATTCTATTCTAAAATGTCATAAATTCAATATTGAATTGATGTTATTGGTGAACGGTTGGTTAGCGTTGAGGAGCGGCAGTGCGGCACAGATGATTTTAGAAATGCGCCGTAAACACGAATGCTGAAGCTGAGTTTTTGAAAAAAAGTAAGACACAATGATGATATTATATTATTATATCTGTGATTTAATGATTTATCTATTTTACTTTGATCTTGAAAAAAAAATATAATATTATTCTTATATCTTATTAGCTAAATGAATATATGATTGCCTATCACATAAGTTGCTATTATTTTGTTATTGTAGCTTGTTACCACCCACGGGCCGTAATGCAGATAAAATTGTACCCATCTACACTGTGTTGCCACCTTAGATCTTAGAGAGTAACCTTGGGAGAATGTCACACTTTTTATTTAACAGCAATTATATGGTAGTATACACTTTTTGGAATATAGTTATGTTGTTATCCTATAATAAAAATACTGTAATTTGTAATTTTCGAGTAAAAATTTGATTTTACTCAAGCAAATATCATAAATTCTAAATAATTAGAAATTTTAACAAATGTGTTTTTTTACCCCGTGCAGGCTGGGGTAAAAAGGCGTATACTAAATTAATTCATGAAAATATATTTTATTTATCTGAAATTGATTATGATTTTATTTATAAAGTAAAAATATATAAAAATATATAAAAATTTTAAATTATCTTATAATCTTCTTTTTCTTCTTCTTCTTATAATATAAAACGAAGAATAGTTGCGACACGGGCCGATAGGTTTAGTGCCCCGACCAATCGAAAAATTAAAATTTTTTTTCTCCGTCGTTATCTGATATTTCCCTAGCGCCGTTATCGTTATCTCCCGCCGTCGTTGTTATCGGTCGTTATTACTTAATACCTTAGATCATATACAATGGATAGAGCCATACGAACTATTTGTGAAGCCAACATCATTGTAGGACCTCGGTGATATGCGCATGTGTGTGGTCTCTTATCATTAATGTTTGGCGCAGAGCAGGCGCGCAGTTAAGATAAACAAGTAACAACACTAACAACTATAAAATATGTTTTTTAAGTTTCTTTAATTGTTATTTCTTAACACATTTACGAAAATCAGTTTCTGCTAAGTGAAATGAACATAATTTTCGGTTTGACTGAACGTCGTCTTCGATCAATCCGCATTTCATAAGCCAGATCTTAAGACGTTTTGGATCTTTAGGAATTCTAATTAAAATGTATTTAATGTTATGGGCTACGAGATATACTAATAATATAAATATATCATAATATAATGTTTATGAGCTACGAGATATGCTAATATATAATATAATGTGTAATATTGCTATAGGTGTTAGCAATAGTAATATGAATATATATGTGATCTAATAATTTTATTATAATGTATACGAAATATTAGATTCATATTTTGTAAAAACATCATAATAAATCAAAATAGTAGTTGTTAGGCGAGGTCGTTTTGCATTTCCAAGAATTGCCAGTAAGACGATAACATCCTGGAGATAGTTGTTTCAAATGTGAAAACAATTCCAAGAACTAATCTAAATTAGAAGGTTGACGATTACAACAACAAGAGATTTTCTTGTATATAAGAGAGTCCGAAGACCAACAGGGGCAGATGTACCAGAGCTACGAAGACCTGAGCAACTTCACGACACTCAGCCACTTTTTGTATCAGTTACATGTATTTTATTTATACAGAATAAACATTATTGTATTTAAGAGTTGTAAATTTCATTTTAATAACACCTTGGATCTGGATCTGATATTGACACGCAACATTAATTACATTATAATAGTTATTATGCATTGTTTAAAACTAAAAACATTAGACTTACCCAAATAAAGATAATCCTGGATTATTATAAACAGACCGTAGACATAAAACACACGCATTTTTAGTCGGCATTATAATAATATTAAATAATTTTTATAATTTTTAATATTTGTTTGTTCAAATGGTTTGAAAATTCAAATTACCTAGTCAATTTTAAGCGGGAAAACAGATTGATATATTATGATAAACAGTAACGCATGCGCAGATGTCACAGGTCCTATAGTAATGTTGGCATCAACTCATTTTATACGCGTAGTATGCTTATGCTATGACTCCATCCATTGTATATGATCTAAGCTTAATACTTATTACTAGGCTTGCCAGATTTTAAAATCACCAAACCGGGACATTATATTAAAATAACCTTTTTTTTTTTAGTATGTTAGTATAATTATATGGAAATAATAAACAAATAACATAATACGATAATCATGTAATGATATTATGTACAATGTTATTCCATATTTCAAAACATGGATATTTAACCTCTTCAATAATATTCAAATAACACAAAAAATACCTAAGATCTGGAGGAAAACCAAAATAATCACACTTCCAAAATCGGGAAAAACCCTTACAGATCCAAAACATTTTAGACCTATTTTATTATTGTGTCATATGTACAAAATTTTCGAAAGAGTTCTACTCAATAGACTAATCCCATTTGTGGATGAAAAGTTAATACCATAACAGGTAGGATTTCGACCTGGCAAATCATGCACAGGACAGATTCTCAACCTAACCCAGACAATAGAAAGCGGTAACGAAGCAAAGAAAATCACAGGTGTAGTTTTCATAGATCTAACAGCTGTCTATGATTTATCAATCATAGAATAATGACATACAAGTTGTATAAAATCACACACGATTTCTGTTTCGTAAAATTAGTAGAAACTTTACTAAGTAATAGGAGGTTTTTTTGTAAGTCATAACGAAAAAAATAGTAGATGGAGAAAGTCTAAAAATGGTCTACCGCAGGGCAGTGTACTAGCACCAACAATGTTCAATATATACACCAACGACCAACCAATATTAAAAGACCAATCAATAAACCACTACATATATGCTGACGATACCGCTATTACAGTGCAAAACACGAGTTTTGAAACGGTAGAAAAAAAGATAACTATGACACTTAAAGAAGTTGGTACTTATTACCAAAGAAATCACTTACGATCAAACCCAGCGAAAACCCAAATATGATCCATCCATCTAAGGAATAGGATAGCAAAACGCCTCTTAAATGTAATCTGGGAACTGGGACGGTATAGAACTCGAAAATATCCAACATCCCAAATGTTTAGGAATAACTCTGGATAGGTCCTTTACATACCGAGTTCATTGTGAAAAGCTAAAGAAAAAAATATCGTCACGAAACGGATTGTTACGAAAATTAATAGGAAGCTACTGGGGAGCCCAGCCACATACATTAAGAACTACTGCAATGGCTTTATGCCTATCAACAGTCAAATACTACGCATCACCAGTATGGGGGAGATCTGTCCACTCAAAACAAATTTATGTCACACTAAATGAAACGTGTCGACTGGTGACAGATTGTCTAAGAAATTCTTAAGTTGAAGAAATATATGTACTTGCTGGAATTGCACCACCGGCAATCAGGAGGGCAGTACAAGCAGATTGGGAGAGAACTAAGATGACGAAAGATGACAGACATCCAATGCATGGAATTAAAGCAAATAATTTCCGGCTAAAATCGAGAAACAGTTTCCTAAAAAAGACGAAATTCTTAACAACAACTAAGGAACAGGAAAGAGTTATACAATGGACAAACCAAATTAGAGACAAAAGATGGGTCCACAACGAAGCGTTACCATCAGGGAATCAATTAAAATGGCCCATTTGGAGAACTTTAAACCGAATGAGAACAGGAGTTGGACGCACTAAGGATAACATGAAGAAATGGGGACAACTTGAAGGAATATCTACAACTTGTGAATGTGGGATGGAACAGTCAATGAAATATATTCTGCAATGCCCAATTTGTCCTTATTCATGCACACAAGATGATGTCAAGAATGCAAACAACAACACCAAAGACGTAGCTAGTTTTTGGGCTGAAACCATTTGAACCAGAATACGACAATCATTTACCATTTATGTGACTTTGAATTATTTTAATCTGTTTGTTTATTTATTTTATATATTTGTTTGTCTTTTATATTTATATTTATGGTTTTACTTTATATGTATACTTTGTTAGTTACTATTTGAAGATTGTACCTACATAATGATGTGCCTGACACAATCGATAGGTATTAAATAATATAATGTTAAAGTTATTTTAGCTCGGCTTCTATTAACCGGGACAAAATTAATGACCAGCCGGGACACCGAGAAATGTTGTTAAAACCGGGACTGTCCCGGTCAAACCGGGATAAATGGCAAACCTACTTATTACTAATTATTATTGTTTTTATATACCGTTTTTACTGCTTTTCGCCCAATTTTTCGGTCTTTCGAGACCTCTTTCCATCGCGTTCTCGACGCTATATTCCAGAGCGGGTCTTTTTCGTCCCGTCCGTACGTCCCCGAATTCCGTTCGCGGCCGTCGCGTCCGGAAAACGCGTACTCTCGGCGCGTTTTCCGGTCGATCGTCGTATCGTCACTACTGTTTTTTTTTTTACGATACGATAAATAATTTATCCGTATCGAATACGCGTCGTTTTGTTTTCGGTGTCTCTACCTTCGGACGCCTTTGCGACCTCATCGGTACTGTCTCGACGGCGTACGAAATACGATTTATTTTATGTGTATAAAAAAAGAAACGCGCGTCGGGTTTAACAGGTTCTTATTTGTATTATACAAAAACATCGCAAAATCGTTGCTCTTCAGTCGTTGTAATGCCTTTAATTGCATACGTTTGGGGCGATATCGTGATATGTGTCTGTGATAATAAACTCGGTACGTCACTAAGACGTATACGATTAAATAATGTAGAGGAATACGTCAGAAACACTCTAAACGACAATAAATATGCGATTTACGGTTTCGTGACACGCGAATCGTAAAAATTGTATCGATTAAACGACGTATAATGTAGTATTCGTCGCATCTCTAAAACGGTTTAAGTGCTCGAGATTCGGTCATTGTTTACAACTCAAGCTGTAGTCGGTAGGTGTTAGGATAGGTACAATTTAATATGGGGCAACAACATCAATCATTAAAACTTAATTTATAAACTGTATGTATTTAATAATAATAATAATAATAAAATAATTATATTATGTACCTATAGATGATGGTATAAATTAAATTAATATTTAAAAAAAACCTATTACGCATGTATATGATGATCACTAAGTAATTGTTTATCCAATACATCCAATACGCCCAATTTTAATATTAAATATTTAAAAAATATATTTTTAAAATTATATTGTATTACTCAG